ACTAGTCCTGGAACCCACAAGAGGAGAGGCAGTTCTTGATTTAGTCATAAGTGGAGCACAGGACCTGGTCCAAGAAATGAATATAGCTCAGTTGCTTGGTAATAGTGACCATAACATAATAAAATTTCACATCCCTGTGGAGGGAGGAGGGGGACACCAAATAAATCCACCATTGTAGCATTTAATTTCAGAAAGAGGGACTACACAAAAATGAGGAAGTTAGTTAAAGAGAAATGAAAAGGCCAAAAGTGAAATCCCTGCAAGCTGCATGGAAACTTTTTAAAGACACCATAATAGAGACTCAATTTAAATGTATACCCCAAATTAAAAAAAAATAGTAAGAGAACCAAAAAAGTGCCACCGTGGCTAAACCACAAAGTAAAAAAGCGGTTAGAGGCAAAAAGGCATCCTTTAGAAAGTGGAAGTTAAATCCTATTGAAGAAAATAGAAAGGAGCATAAACTCTGGCAAGTGAAGTGTAAAAATATAATTAGGAAGGCCAAAAAAGAATTTGAAGACCAGCTAATCAAAGACTCAAAAAGTAACTGCAAAAAAAAAAAAAAAATGTAAGCACATCAGAAGCATGAAACCTGCTAAACAACCGGAGGAGGAGGGACACTGGATGATTGAGATGCTAAAGGAACACTCAAGGAAGACAAGGCCATTGCAGAGAAACTAAATGAATTCTTTGTATCAGTCACTGAGGCTGAAGATCTGAGGGAGATTCCCAAACCTGAGCCATTCTTTTTAGGTGACAAATCTGAGGAACTGTCCCAGATTGAGGTATCATTTGAGGAGGTTTTGGAACAAATTGAAAAATTAAACAGTAATAAGTCACCAGGACCAGATGGTATTCACCCAAGAGTTCTGAAGGAACTCAAATGTGAAATTGCAGAACTGCTAACTGTGGCATGTAACCTATCATTTAAATCAGTTTATGTACCAAATGCTTGGAGGATAGCTAATGTGCCATCAATTTTTTAATGACCGGTAAGCCTAACTTCAGTACCAGGCAAATTGGTTGAAACTATAGCAAAGAACAGAATTATCAGACACATAGATTAACACGATTTGTTGGGGAAGAATCAACATGGTTTTTGTAAAGGGAAATCATGTCTCACCAATCTACTAGAATTCTTTGAGGGGGTCAACAAGCATGTGGACAAGGGTGATCCAGTGGATATAATGTAATTAGATTCTCAGAAAGCTTTTGATGAGATCCCTCACCAAAGGCTCTGAAGCAAAGTAAGCTCTCATGGGATAAGAGGGAAGGTTCTCTCCTGGATCAGTAACTGGTTAAAAGATAGGAAACAAAGGGTAGAAATAAATGGTCAGTTTTCAGAATGGAGAGAGGTAAATAGTGGTGCCCCCAGGGGCCTGTACTGGGACAAGTACTGTTCAACATATTCATAAATGATCTGAAAAAGGGGATAAACAATGAGGTGGCAAAATTTGCAGATGATACAAAACTACTCAAGATAGTTAAGTCTAAAGCAGACTGCAAAGATTTACAAAAGGATCTCACAAAACTGGGTGACTGAGGAACAAAGTGGCAGATGAAACTCAATGTTGATAAATGCAAAGTAACGCACCTTGGAAAACATAATCCCAACTATACAATACTATATCAATAGGCAGAAGGTTTAAAACAAACAAAAGGAAGTACTTCTTCACACAATGCACAATCAACCTGTGGAACTCCTTGCCAGAGGACATTATGAAGGCCAAGACTATAACAGGGTTCAAAAAAGAACTAGATAAGTTCATAGAGGATAGGTCCATCAATGGCTATTAGCTAGGATGGGCAGGGATGCAACCCCATACTCTGAAGTGCCCCTAGCCTCTGTTTGCCAGAAGCTGGGAATGGGTGTTAGGGGGATAGGTCACTTGATGATTACCTATTCGGTTCATTCCCTTTCAAGCACCTGACATTGATGATGGACAATTGGTCTGACCCAGTCTGGCTATTTTATGTTCCTAATCTGGTGGGTGACCCAGTGCTCCCAATCAACCTTTACACTTTGGGAACTAACTAGTAGTTATTGCAGGTAATTTATAAGCTACTGTCACACCCCTCCCTCCCTTAATGCTTGATCCTTTTTGTCTGTTTGGTGGTGTCCCAGATCGCACACTGTTCTGGAAGAGAGTGAAAGATTCGCATTCGAATTCAGGACCTATGCTGAGAAAGTGTGTTTGGAAAGTTGCTGTGCCCAGAATTGCCAACTCTTGCGATTTTATTGCGATTCCCACAATATTTGGGGGAGGGGAGGTGTTGGTGGTGTTTTTTTTTTTTAAAGCATCAGCACCTTGGTTCATTTGCTAACATGAGAAGCTGAGCTTTTACTTATAAAACAAAACAAAAGCAAATTTCTCGCTGGCATGGTTGCAGAGAAAACTTGAAAATATGAAGCGAGTGCATCCCGCAAGGCTATAGAAATCAGAAAGTAAATAAAAAGAACTCACACTTTATTTATTTGTTTACATTTCATGATTTTGAAGCCAACCTCATGATTTTTTTTGAGCCTGACTCATGATTTTGAAGCATACCTTTTAGATGCATTATTGTTATTCTATGTAACATGGCGGGGACTGGCCATGAAGCCATAGACACTATGGATTAGCCCAACACTATTGCATTTTGAAAGGCACATTGAGCTCAGTAAAAGCTTTTTGTTGGAAGTGAAATTTTGGATTATGTTCAAAGACTCTGCTTGGAAGCCTGCCTGCACACACTGTCCTAACTATCTGTATATCCTTGCCAAGCCACCTGTCTCGCAGTAGCAAGGGTGAGGACAACAAAATTAGTCCTCAAGTTAATACATTTATTCCTCCATTTATATGATAAAAGTAGTCTCTTGTCTGTGACAACCATCGGCTGGCATAAATCTCAATAGGCAAAGGTTAGAACATTCCAGCCCTCTGGATTATCTGTTATCCCGCTAAATTGCCTGATGAGTAGGGTATCAGGTTTTATTAATCTTTCTGTAATTTTTTTTTTAATATTGAGCTTAAGGCACTCACTAATGAATCAGTTTTAATTTATGGGCTAAAATAAAATCCTCATTAAGGCTGACAAACTGTAGCCTCAGGTAAACACAAAACATTTCCACTCAGAGCTAAATGAGTTCTCCTCTGGATGCTGGTGCTTCTGCCAATAGAAAGGTGGGGTCAGAGGTCCAATGTCATATCAGAGGAAGAAGCATTTTAGTGAAAGTAACTGCAATGCTCTATCACCGAGGAATTCTATATCCAGTATGGAAAGGAATGAAAACGAAGGAGTGTATTGTCATTTTTCCCCCTGAACAAACACTTCAGGAATATTCTGTTTAGAACCACTGTTTGCTAAATTAGTCTGTATCCCAAACACATTAATCAAATATTCCAATAGCTCCTTTAGGAACATACCCAGTGCAAATGTATACTTTGAACTTTGGATGCACACACACATGTTTCAGTAACACTAAGGGGAGTCAAATGGAGGCCGTATCTCTGGACTCAATACTGCAACCATTTATACATGCAAATAACTTCACTTACGTGATTAGCCCTGCTAACATCAAAGAGACTATTTGCCTGAGTAAGGTAGCTCTTGCCTCAATGTGTCTGTAGAATCGGCTCTCCAGTGAGAGCAAGCTTACTTTTGGAAATATGTAATATCTGAGTCACGTGCATTGCAGCTCTGTATGACAAATGTAAATGTACTGTGTGCATTTGGGTGTAAAATACCATTCTTTAGGCATTAAAGCAGAACAGCTCTGTTCTTTAGACAGTTTACTTGATGATTGATTGTTTCTTTCCTGTTTGTCACTGTTTCCAGTCACCTTTTTGAATTATACGTCATTATTCTATAGAACACTATTTAAAGGGACACTGTTGATATGAAAATCATATTCTTGTTCATTTAAAAATATTTGTGTTTAGTTACAACTAATACTAAATTTGATATACATTGATTTACTCTTTGCACTTTGTCTTGAACAGTGCAACTTAAAGTTACCTTAGATTTCTGTTCCCATTCATTTTAGCACAATGCAGTTGAGTTTGGATTTCCAACATTGACAGAGAGTGTTTTTAAAAAAATACAACTCCTGTTTCCAATGAAATAAAAACAACATTAAAACATTTACAAGCAAAGAAAAGCCACAAAGTGTTGGGTTTAAATTGTCAGCATTTTTCAATTAATGGGTACAATAATTTATAATCAAGTCACGGACACAGTTAATGCAGTGCTTTGTTTAGATTTAAAAGATTGATTATTGTCTTACTGACCATGGATAATCTAGTTCTAAATGTTGGGCCCAGTTGTGCAACTTTTAATCATGCTAGTCATCCTTGAAAGGGTTGTGGAATCAGGTCTCTTGTCTTTTGAACAAGTGTCTCTATAGTGACATATCTGTGACCATTTAGTATAATTTAAGGCCCTGATCCCGCAATCACTAAAAGACGTGCAAAAGTGTCTGCAGGATTAGGGCCTAAATAAATTAATCTGTCAAGGCTCATATTCTTATCAATAATCTTGTTGACTTCAATGGGAGCCCCTACAGGTATGAGAGTCTGATTGCATAGATCCCTTTGTAGGATCAGAACCTCAGTGGATATTACAGCTGCATGCTACATGCTTTAGATTTGCTGTTGATGTACTGGGTACACTGAATGGATACACTTCAGACGTTCACTTGTATAACTGTCATACAAAAAACAATAAAAAGGAAGTTAAAGCTTAAAAAAAGAAATCCCAAACAACTTAAAACTATTTGCTCTCAGTAGCTTAGATGGAACTAAAATTATAATGGGTAAAAAAGCACTTGAGTGACATAAGAGCCTATGCCCCATTTTCAAAAGTGATGTACTCCTACGCTCCATTGAAAGTCAATGAGACTGAGGCAGGGAAATCACTTTTGAAAATGGGACTTAGATGCCTAAGTAACTTGGACTCTTATGAACATTTTACCCAACATCTTCTCCATCTGTATTTTGATTGTCATTGTCTTTGCCTTTCAGATGCAGTAATCGTACACAGTGCGCAGTGGTAGCAGGCCCTGATGTGTTTCCAGACCCTTGCCCGGGAACGTACAAATACCTGGAAGTGCAGTATGAATGTGTCCCTTACAGTATGTATAGTAATATATTTTCACTTCTCATTGATAGAGATCTCATTTTGCTTGCAGATTAGGCCTTGAACCCCTGGGGGGAAAAAACAAACCACCACTCAATGGCAAAATTGGCAAAAGTGTATACACCACACCAGATTCAGTTGATGAGGGTTTGAAAATCTCACTCATTGTGTGATGGATGCTCCTGTTAAATGAAACACTACTATTAATTAGGGTATTTTTTTTATTGCTCACTATACAGTTTTCTGATTGTAATTTGTATAGCAAAGTTTTTTTAGACTGATCTATGTTATTTTAATTAGTGCCATTTTATCGTTACCTTTTAAGTCCCATATTACATCTCCTTGCAGGGACAAGCAAATAGGAAGCTAATTGATGAGAGCATAATGTTGATGGTAGGAATTATGAAACTGTAAGTTTGTGAATTGATTAAGGGAACTTACATGCAGGCCCTGAAAGCCTTACTTTTTTTCTAGGTTTAGAAAAACTTTCATCTGTGGTTGTTGTATTATATTTTTAACAGAGCAAAATCAACATCACCAAAAAGTAAAGCATGCCTCAGAATTTGCTTTTCATAGCAGCAGGACTCATTTACAATTCTGCTATCAAAAAAATTGTATATCGCAAAGAGGAATATAAATATTTGGTTAGCAATAGTAAAGAATCAAGTCATGCAAAACTAAATCATTTCTCGGTTTCTTACCCTGGATTTCTTAAAGCTCTCAAATTGTGCACCTCAGGGAACAAACTAGGCAAAACTAAAATCACCCCTGGTCTTCCCTAATTAGTTTAATATGTGTGGGATCGAGTAGTGAGAGCCAGCCAGAAAACACTTCATTCTTCTGAAGTACGGCAGTTGACCCGTGGAAGAAGATAGCTGGGATCATAAACAAATAGGCTCGTGCTTGGATGTCAAGCCACTGGAGAAGGAATGTGTCTTGTAAGTGACAAACGTGATCTCCTCAGGGAAAGTTATGAGCTTCCTTTCTCATGCTTCCAGTCCCTCAAACTGTACGCACCTCTCACTGAGGAACTGGCTGCCCATCTGCCGTGGGGACTGAAAGGGTTGAAAGGTGATGTGGCTGTCGAGAGATGACTGGGAACTGAAAAGTGAGGGATGCAATTAAAACAAAAGCACTCACTGCCCTTGTCCCTGAACAAAAGTGACATACTCCGCCAAGGGACCCTTAGTCTATCTCAACCAATTGGGGAAAACAGGGCTCAACATTAGGACTATGTCCATGTCTGAGTATTAAAAACAAAAACCATGAAGCTTCTAGATGCAACAACTGATGTCTTACATTGGGGCTGATTCAAAACCCATTGAAGGCAATGAAAAGATTGACATCCATGTGCTTTGGATGTGACCCATAGAGCTTTATACAAAATTACTAGTTTGCAGGTGACCTACTAGCAAGGCCGTGTTTCATTTCATTACCAAACAAAAAAAGTGTGTGTGGGGGGGGAGTGGGGGTGAGGAGGTTGTACTTACCATAAGTCGTATTTCTTACGATTTGCAATTTACATGGCATGTATTATTTCCTCCTGAGATCATTCTGGTAAAGAACTAGTCATTACCAATAGCCTTTGTTGCATAGAAAACAAAGAAGAATAGTAGTGCATTGTTAGAAAGGTAATATGTGAATATTATGCCCTGAGGTGCTAATCGGTCTTATGTGCAAGATGTAAAATAACTCTTGCGGCAGGCTGTTCTGTACCAAATGTACAGTAGGGATTGAATGTTTTTAATGATCCAAATGTGAAAAATGATGCCTTTAAAATCAGGTTACGGTGTTTGTATGGCTGTGGGTTTTTTAATACCTACTGGAGTAATCTTTATATACTGCTGGAGGCGGAGATAATCATTGTGGTGAATTCTGACTTTTCCTAGTTCTGATTTGCAAAATTGCAGCATTTGTGATTAACATTTTGGGCCAGATCCTCAGCTGGTGCATAGCTCCATTAATTACAGAGAGCTACACCTCCATACCCCAGCGAAGGACCTGGCACGTTGTGCGGGAGTGTCCGTGTCCATGTGTCCCTGTCCCCCCAAAGGCAACAGGGTCTAGTGAACTGAGCACAGGGCTTTCACACCAGAATTTCTCGATTCTGTTCTTTCCTGTGTCTGGCGTTGGCAACGTGTTACACTTCTGTAGTAGTTTGCAAACACTATTTAGTTATGCCCCACAACATCCCCACCGCATGAGGCAGGGAACAATCATCCCGTGGCTTTCACAGTGAAAGTGGTTCACGCAGCAAGAGAGTGTCAAGAGCAACATTACAATCCAGGAGTGAAATCCTACCTCATTGATGTCAATGACAAAACCGCCTTTGGCTTTAATGGGACCAGGATTGAACCCCAGAACTTGTGCTTAATCCACTGAGCTGCACTGCCCCTAGGGAAGTCAATGTGAGTTTTGCAGTGTCTGTTTCCTCTGAAATAGGGATGATAACACTTTATTTACCTGATTATCTACCACATGGCTTTCTTGCTGACTGTGAAGCTGTCACACCATTTACTAGCAGTCTCATTTGCTGACTTGTAGTGGTGTATGGGGGAAGGGTTTATCCTCTGAGAAGACAAACAGGCCAGTCATCTGACCACCCATTCTCTTCATGTGAGAGCACCATCTGGGTCACTTTCGGGGAGGAACTCAGCTAGGGAGATGCAGTGAGGACAATTCTGCAGCCACAGCCATCAGTAGGGCATGCTGTGCACATGCAAGTATCAGAGGGGTAGTCGTGTTAGTCTGGATCTGTAAAAAGCAACAGAGGGTCCTGTGGCACCTTTAAGACTAACAGACGTATTGGAGCATGAGCTTTCGTGGGTGAATGCCCACTGCGTCCGACGCATACCGATTCGTGCCTGCATATTTATACCTGACTCTGGAAATTTCCATTACATGCGTCTGATGAAGTGGGCATTCACCCACGAAAGCTCATGCTCCAATACGTCTGTTAGTCTTAAAGGTGCCACGGGACCCTTTGTTGCTGTGCACATGCAGTTTGCAGCACTCATCGGCTGGGGTAAGTGATAAATGAATGGCTGAGTGGGACCTCTGTCTTCGTGCTGGTCTACACTACGGGGTGGGGAGGAATGATCTAAGATATGCAACTTCAGCTACGTGAATAACGTAGCTGAAGTCGCCGTATTTAGCTCTACTCCCCATGGTGTCTTCACTGTGCTATGTCGACGGGAGATGCTCTTCTGTCGATTCCCCTTGTGCTTCTCATTGAGGTGGAGTACCGGAGTCGATGCTAGAGCAATCGGCGGTCGATTTATTATGTCTATATTAGACACGACAAGTCGACCCCTGCTGGATTGATCACTGCCCGTCGATCCGGCCGGTAGTCTAGACAAGCCCTTCCTTGCATTTGTGACTTCAGACCATATTAGTGCCAACACACTGTGTGCAGTGAAGGTTGCCATCTTTTGGCCAGTCAAACACAGAAGTTATCTCTATCCATGGCTATGCTCCAGTTTCTTCCAACAAGACCTACCTAGTTGCTCCTGCTTTGGGTTTAGTCTAGACGGTGAGGTTTAGGCTGTCTTTTCAGTGCCTTACAAGTTAAACGTGGCTTGCACAGCACCACTGAGTAAACCTGAATTCCTTCTTGTCTATTTGCCGAGGTAAAATGGACTATGGTTTTTGGGCAATTTCCTGCCTCCATTGTAGATTTTCCATGGCCTAGTGGGGCTGTTCTCAGGAACCGCTTGGATTCAGACTGTTACTAATGCTGGAAACCTAGTGCCCTGTTGCCTTTTTGAACTAAGCTTTGCAATGTGCTATTCTCCTAAAGAAGTGCATCAGCGTTTGTAATTAAGGCATTAATGTTTCATCACACGTTCCATTAGAATGTAATCTCAGCCTGCTATGTCTAAGTTGTCAGTTTACTCCGTAAGGTTTCAAATCATGGGCTATATATGTTGCCAGAGCATTAATGGAAATATTCGCTGAACAGCAAAGGAAAGTTGAGTATATGTTCCAGTAGAGCAGCATTTGGGAATTGTCTGTAGTGTGATGCTATAGCTGACCTTGAACACTGATGCTCAATAGAACACTGTTGTGCCTGTTCCCTCAAAGAAAAACATATGGAATATTTTAAACTCTCTCTTGGTTCCCCCGTCCTGCCTTGCATTGGTTTTGTTTTTTCTCCTGTTTCTCCAAATTTCCATAACTTCCATCAGTTGTAGGAAGACTTGCTGGTGACAATGCATTGTCCACCGAAAGCCTCTCCATTTCTTTCTGAAAATGTAGCCTCTTATGACTTTACCAGCCCATGTTCTCTTTTGAAAATGGCTGCTATATTATATATCCCTAGTCCTCCTTTCCGCCAGCCTCACTCACTCTGGGAATTATTTGTTTTAAGAAAAAAAATGGATCTGGCTTCTGACCAGGGATAGATTGTCCTGACTTCTCTCCCCTCTGGCTAAGTAGGGCTAGTCAATATCAACAGGTGACCAGTCCTCTCTCATGCTTAGAATAGTCCCCTATATTTTTAAATGCTGACAAGGTGATGGGGGGTGGGGGAGAGGCAACACTTAACTATCAGTCATCTCTTTGTTAAAGACTGGTTTAAAAAATCATAGATGTTGAATTCACATTTCCCTGTTGTGGTATTGATGAAAAAAGGGTAATTTCTTTGCTAGAAATACTCTTTTTATTGCTTTCAGAAGAGTGGGTTGGCTTACATATCAATAAAAGTGAAGGATGTTAAGTGTGATGTGGGAACAGAATTCAATAAAGTTTTATTGTATCACAAGTGGACAGAAGTGCGTTTAAAAACATTAAATGAAAGCTCACCATATCTGCTCCGCTGGACCTTAGGGCCAGTGAATAGACAGATAATTGAATAATGACAGTTTTAAGAGAATCCAAGCACTAGAAAGCAATCTGATATTTTTATTGCTTTAAGATTGCTGAGGGGAGGGAGAAGATGAGAGAAAATTGCAACCTGAAAACAATTTAATGAAACCACTTCTCCCAAGAATACTG